TCATCATATTTATAATAAATTCTGTTTTTCTTTTGAGATCATGCTGGCTGTTTAATAAAAATGTGCTATGTCTTTGAATTTTGAAAATAAATGATTATTTTGACTATCTTAAAACAATAAAAATTGTAATGAGCGTTTTTTCCATTGGGAAGATAAGCCAAAAAATAGACCTGTGAACAATCATATAGCTCAATTTTGGAGGTGGATATTCTTTAGCTCTAACTATCTAATTAACTAAAAATAAACATCTGTACTGTTATGACTGTGTTATTAAATCAAGGGGTATGAAGAAAGTTTCAAGGACAATGAATTTATTTATGGAACAAAGGAGACAATAAGGAATAAAGCTATGACTGGCAGCCTGATAAAGAGCCCAACTCTGTTAGGATGTGCTGGCTTTTTTCTTTTCCTACAACATCTGTTTTAGATTATTGTGTATTATATCTACTTCCATAATGTATCTGGTTTCTCAAAAGTTATATGATGATATGGAGAACCTTTATAATTGATAAGAATTGAGAAAGTTGGTGGCCTTTATTGAAATATATAATTTTTAATAAAATGCAGTTTATTATTTTCTAATGTAGTGCATATTTTAAAACAGATATAGGTGCAAAGAAATAAAATTATATTTGTCCCTTTCTCTATTAAAATTTAAAACGCACCTCTTCTTTTGACCTGCCAGTTCTGTGTCTGGTAATATATCCTATGTATGTACTGACAGAAGTGCATAGAAATATATGAGGATGTTTGTTGCAACATTATTTATGACACCAAAAAGAAAAAAAAGGAGATCATCTAAATATCTGTAAGTAGAAGACTGTGTAAATGATTTATGGTTTACCCCTATAATGGAATTTTATACCATCATTGAAAAAATAAGGTATTGATATAGAAAGATGTCGGGCTTGCTGTAAGGAAAAAAAAAAAGGCAGAACAGTATGCATAGTGTAAAATCATTTGTGCACTGAAAAGGATATATGTGTATTTATGTATATGCACATCTATTTGAATATGCATAGACTATTCACGACATGGTGCACAACAAAATCTGTCAAAAATGCTTACCTTTAGGGGCCGGCCCGGTGGCGCACTGGATAGTGCGCCGCTTGGGAAGCGCAGCGGTGCTCCCGCCCGAGGGTTTGGATCCCACATACGGACCGGTTCCCGCTCACTGGCTGAGCGAGGCGCGGGAGCAACACCGAGGGTTGCAATGCCGTTGCCGGTCCCCGGTCCGGTACGGGGGCAACACTGAGGGTTGCGATCTGTTGCCGGACATGGAAAAAGACAAAATA